AATGCTGTTGACCGCCAAACATTATCGAGAATTGGACGCACTTATAGCTAGATATGGGAGGAGGGCGATGCAGGGGAAGGCGGTGATCAGCAAGGAGGAGGGGAAGATGAGGACGCTCACAAACAAACAGGTCATGCAGCATTGGCGTCTAGCAAGTTCTGCCACAGAACTTCTTGTTCGCAGGTTGGGCTGGTATCGCAGCTGGGCCCTTCGCCCAGAGTCTCACACGCAGGAGTTGTGCTTGCTTTTCGGCACGATGCCACTTGATCCAGGAGGTACAGCGCTCTCTGGTGATCAAGTTTTGTTGTCCCAGGCGTCCCCATGGCTCGTTCGGCTACAGGAAGACTTTCAACATGCCGCCGAGCGGATGGACGAGGGACAGATCTGCGCGCACATTGCGCGATTCCCTGGAAAACTCATCAGTAAGGAAACGATGTCGGCTCTTGCTCGACTAGACTTCACGGAGATCAGATCCAGGGAGTTGTCGGTGACGTTATCCCCGACCTATGGAGAGGCTCCGCTCGACAGGGACCCCGAGGCTGAGGACCCCCTTGAAGTCCCTGAACATCCTTGGAAGTGCGACTGGGAGGAGGAGGAGGGGCACATATGCGAACGGGGCTTTCAAACTAAACGAGACCTGCTAAACCATATGCGTCGAGTTCATCAAGTACATATTTTATGTTCGTCAATTACACCAACAAACACCTGTATTGTATGCCGTCGAGTCTTCGGGTCGCAGGGCAATGCGCACAAACATCTACAACGGGCTGTCTTGGCGGGGAGGTGTCCTGCTCGTGGTACTTCGACGTTACGACAGGTCCAAGTCCCAGGAAGCTTCGATTGTAAGATATGTGTGTACAAGGCGGGTGGGCTCGATGGTCTCTGTAGCCATTTGGCTGAGTGTCATCTTCCACGGACGGTTGAAGCTAACCTCCCTCCCGAGCAGAGAGCTGTTGACGATGCCAGTGGAGGGGGAGGAGAAGCTGGACGTTCCAGAGTGGATGCTGGCCCCATCATCAGAAGGGGGACCCGCCAAGCACCGTCGAACCGCAGGCAAAAAGGGAGACCTCGGCAAGCTCGCGGGTTCCACGCTGTCGCAGCTCGTCATGATTCTCGCCAAACTGGTATTATCGGACAGTCGGCAGCTGGCCGAGTTGACGGCCACAGTGTACAGAACGTTCGACCTCGACGCAGGCACAGGCTTGGCATCAGCAATGGAAGAAGCAGGACAGGGGTACAACGACGTATCAAAAAGCCTCAAAGAAAAGGCGGCAAAGGGCGACCAGGTCAACTGGAAAGCAAGGGGGCCACCATTCGTGCAGATATTTATGGCATCTATGCTATGGGCGGCGCAGCAGGCGGACAAGAAGGATGCCCCAGTGTGGGCGAAGGAGTTCAAGCTCTTGTGGACGGACAAGATCAGCAAGGTGAAGATGGCCGACGTGGGGGAAGTGGTACTACATTGGCAGTGGAAGAGGAACAGGGGCTAGTAGTCCGAGGGCGAGAACAACATGGGGAGGATCATTTTCGCGATCGACACATCCCGCCCGTTCGGCCTGGCCCTGGCAGAGTACGTAGAGAAGATGCTCGCAGGGCTCGGCGCGGAGAGGAAGATTGGACCAGCCCCCCGCGGGCCGCTCGAGAGGGATGCAAGCAAGTTGTTGGCAGAACTGAAGGAGTCGTAGTGAGAAGCAGGAGTGATCAGAGCGTGAGTTTAGATAGGCCGTCTCAGCCGAGTAGCAGTGGCGATTCAGGGCGGCCTAGTCAGGCCGAGTTTTTTGAAACTCCTGGCAGCGTCGGGGCCATCCAAGGGGAAGCTCCTGGCCGTTCGAGGGTCGCCCGACCGAATTTTTTGAGCAGCTTGCAGCAACTGAGGGGTAGTGTTAGGCTAGTCGAACTAATTGCAAGAGGCAGCGTCAGTGCAGATATTTTGGACCCGAGCCCCACCCCTGTCCCTATCAGCCTATAACCCCGAGATAGCGACCACCCCCACCATCCAGAGGGAAGGAGGCACGCGAAGAGGGAGAGGCAGGAAGGGGAAGGGCAAAGGAAAGGGCAAGGGTCGGTAGCAGTTCTCATTGGTCCCCACCAGTGGGCCCCTCGCCAGGCTGCGTGCCGAATTCGGGGGTGCCCACAGGGGCGGTGCGGCGTCCGTCGAGAGCCACGGGCCGCGCTGGATGGTTTGGCGGCATTAAGTTTCGCCCCCCAGAGTTCATCCTGCCCCACCCAGCTAGGCAGTCAGCTTGGCAGGCGATAAGCAGCAGCAGACGAACTCCCACGGGCCTGATCCTGATCCTGATCCTCCTCCTCCTCCTCCTCCTCCTCCTCCTCCTCCTCCTCCTCCTCCTCCTCCTCCTCTCTCCTCCTGCTCCTCCTGTTCCTCCTCCTCTCCTCCTCCCCCTCCTCCCCCTCCTCCCCTCCTCCCCCTCTCCCTCCTCATCCTCCTCCTCCTCCTCCTGCTCCTCCTCCTCCTCCTCCTCCTCCTTCTCCTCCTCCTCCTCCTCCTCCTCCTCCTTCTCCTCCGCGCGGCGCTGCGGCTCAACACGTGGTGGCCTCTGCCGTTGTGGCCGCTTCGCTGCTGCACGTTCAAGACCACTGCGCGGGGCGCGGAGGCGAGGCAACGCACGTTTCCAGCGACCGGCCCGCCATCCTTGTCACGGGTCGCCACGGCCTCTTCCTCCTCCTCCTCCTCCTCCTCCTCCTCCTCCTCCTCCTCCTCCTCCTCCTCCTCCTCCTCCTCCTCCTCCTCCTCCCCTCCCCCCCCTCCCCCTCCTCCTCTCCTCCTCCTCCTCCCTCCTCCTCCTCCTCCTCCTCCTCCTCCTCCTCCTCCTCCTCCTCCTCCTCCTCATCCTCCTCCTCCTCCCCCCCTCCTCCTCCTCCTCCTCCCTCCTCCTCCTCCTCCTCCTCCTCCTCCTCCCCCTTCTCCTCCTCCTCCTCCTCCTCCTCCTCCTCCTCCTCCTCCGCCTTCACTGGCGGAGTGTGTGCGGCGCCAAGGCGAGAGCCGCGTTCTGAAGACGGCCCGCCCGTTGTTGTAGCGGCCGCGCCCTCCTGCCGTATGACTGTCCTGTCTGAGTTGTTAGTAGTTCGGCGAGAGCACACTTGCAAGGGAGTGCCAGGCGAAACGCGCGCCCCAGCCGGCGGACGCGCCTGGTGGTGCGGTAGGGGCATGAAAACGATGAGGAGGAGGGGTGGGGGGAGGAGCATGAGGATAAGGGTGGGGAAGGGGAAGGGGGAAGCGGAGGGAGAGGTCCAGAGCAAGCCCGCGATGCATCTGCAATGCTGCAGTTTGCCCTGCCGTCCGAACTCCACTCCCAGGTCGTCCCTGCACGTCTGCCTCCCCACGGTTTCCAACGACTCGCACCAGTCGGGCCTGCCATGCTGGCAAGGGCCCCGTCTTGAAAGGGAACTGTTTTGTATTTTGCCCCTGTGTGATTAAGTCTTGTCCCTGTGGGATTAAGTGGTGTTAAGTCTTGCCCCTGTGGGATTAACCTTGTCCCTGTGGGATTAACCTTGTCCCTTGCATCCTCTGTTAACCTTGTCCATGTGGGATTCATCTCCCTGGTGTTCCGTTATTTCGCTGGGGCAGAGAAAACGTGCAGAGTATAATCGTACAGTGCATCGGGGCGTCCAGCGACGTCCCCCCTGTCGAAGCAGGACCGGCACGCCCTCCCCCCCTCCCCATCCGTCGGCGACTGGTTCACACGTTTCCGTTCGAGGTCACGACTTTCGAGGATCAGGAGCGAAAGAAGGACGTACATGTACATGATTCCACGCTGGTTTCGAGAGCACGCATTACACAAATGTTCGTATAACGCGGCCGGTCTCACGAATCGAGGGGCCGTGTTCATGTACATAGCTGGGCGCGTACGTCCTTTGTGGGCTCCCTAGAGGAAGACCGACCTTTCGAAACAGGTTCGAGGTCACGACCTTTCACGGCGTTTCCGTTCGAGGCCACGACTTTTCGAGACAGGACCGCCCTCCCCCCCCCCCATCCGCGCGACTGGTTCGCACGTTTCCGTTCGAGGTCACGGCCTCTTGAGGAAGTCCGAAGCGAGGGCCCAATTCAAACAACGAGCCGTCGTGACTCGGGGGTGGACAGAACCCCCAACAGCGACACGTCGATCAGTGAATTGTCCGTTGTCGGTTCTCGAGAGGGCGCCGCGGCCGTTATTATCCAGGCTTGCGCCCGCCAGGTTTGGGCCTCAGGTCGTTTCCACTAAACCACGTTTTACTAAAGGGAGGTCTGTCCATCCCCGAGTTACGTGCAGAGTGTGTTTAAGTTATGGGTTGCAGTATTTAGCGAGCGCCCCGACTTGAGACGAGCCCCGTTCGTGGACAGGCCTCCATCCTTCTCATTGTTGCAATCTTTTGATACGAGTCTGCGCGGGGCTGAGGCGAGAGCCACAATTGAAACATGACGCAAGGTCTAACCATGTAGTCAGCTCACCATGGTCAAGCGCATGTGTGCGCCGTTCATGCGACAGCCACAGGTTTACGAGGAGCCATTCTGCCATTCTCCATCCCTGAATTGTTCGAACCATGCTACGTGCGCGGGGACTCTACGTTTGAGCACCTCCTACCATCCACGTTTGAGGCTGATGCAACGTTTCGGCGAGAGCTACCTTTTGAACCCCTTCCCCTCCAGCATTGAGGCAAGCTGCGCGTGTCAAGATTCAGGATCACACGTGGCGGGGACGCCTCAGGAGGCTCGCCCCGCCCGCCCCGCTCGCCCGACCCGCACGGCTATAGGGGTACGACGCGGAGGAGTTGCTTCTGCTCCTGGGGAGAAGGGGGCGGTGGAGGAGGGGACAGAGAGGATAGAGGAGGAGGAGGAGGAGGAGGAGGAGGAGGAGGAGGAGGAGGAGGGAGGAGGATCAGAAGGGGGAGGAGGAGGAGGAGGAGGAGGAGGAGGAGGTGGAGAGATGACAGGAGGGGAGGGGAGGTGGCATCATGGAGGGGAGGAGGGAGGAGGGAGGGAGGATCAAGGAGCGCGGGCCCAGGAGGAGGCCTCGCAGCTGCGCGAGGAGCACGCCAGGATGGCCAAGGCGCTGCAGGACCCGGGCGCCCTTTCTGCTCGCCCCCGGCAGGCGCCGTCGCTGTCACTGCGGGGAGGCCATACAAGGGAGACTCGAGGATCGAGGGGGGAGGATCTAGGATCTAGGGGAGGAGGAGGAGGAGGAGCCGCAGGAGGAGGAGGAGGAGCCGCAGGAGGAGGAGGAGGCGGAGGAGGAGGAGGAGGAGGAGGAGGTTCGAGGATCTAGAGGAGGAGGAGGAGAAGGAGGAGGAGAAGGGTCGAGGATCTAGGGGAGGAGAAGAGGAGGAGGAGGAGGAGAAAAAGGTGCGATGATCTAGGATCTAGGGGAGGAGGGCAAGGCGAGGCAACTCAGAGGACGAAACGGGGCCGATACGGCTACCCTGGCAGACGACGTGTATGCAGCGTACCGCGTCGGCGTCTCCCGAGGCGTCGTCGATCCTGGACCCAGAAGTGTTACGGTGTGTTGTTTTCGGCCCCGGGCCGAAAACTATACACCGTACCGCGTTGGAGCGGGGTCTCAAGTGGATCCAAACATGGTGCGGTACATGGGCGCCGTGCTCGTATGTTTGGGCCTTCTAGAAGGCCCTTCTCGCCACAGCTGGATCCACCTCGAAATTTTGGTCAGGGCGGGCCGTGGGAGATGCCCCGGGGGGGGGGCGGTGCTGGTTGGGCGTTCCTCGAGAGTTCGAGGCAATGGCGGTCCTCCCCTGGGGGGCAGGGGCACGACCGTTAACACACGTTCGCGGCCGCCACCACGCGAAGCGCGCCTTACGGTGGACGTCATTTTGGGGCCGTGTCACGAGCGCGAGGCGTTTACCAAAACGTGTGCACTGTTCCAGTCTACAGGCCCGCAGACCTGTGTGGGCCGAGCTTTCCGTCCAAACGGGGCTCTCGCCTCGGCGCGGACAGCACACCGCCAGCATTACCTGCATGTCGTGTCCAGTTCAAGAGCGAATCGCAAGGATGTCTCAGCAAAGTCCGGCCTTTTTGGTCAACATGGGGGGGCTGGGTGTCATGAGCGAACCAATTGCACGTGTCACGAAAGTCAAAATCGCAGCGATGTCCCAGCAAATTGGGCCAGATGGATTGCCGCCAGTTTCCGTCGAACGCGTGCGAAGCAAGCGTCCGACGGTCACAATGGATCCTTTTACAGGCAGTTGCGAGTCGCGTGGGGGATGTTGCGCAGCTGATTCGCATTCTTTACCCACGCTCCTATTCATTGGTGCTGAAGCAGACCACGCTCATTCCACGAACGTTCGCAGATACTCAATACGCAGCATCTGGGCACGCTAATGGCGACGTTAAGTTCTACAGTCCACAGCTTGCGCCGCTTTGCGTGCACAAGTGCAGTGCAAGACCTTGTTGCTCGGGGCCTCCGCTGGCAAGCATACGTATGTGTGCATACATATATATATAGATACATATATGTATCTAAACATTCAAGGTCCACAAATATAAATTTACCCCAGTGGGCTAGACTGTATCCACATCCACTGCCAGCCGTGGCCCCAGAAGATCCATCTCCAGGCGGTGGTTGTGCTAGGTCGGCCCCGCACTTGCGGATAAGAGTAACGGGGCTGTTTGGTCGTCTGCGCGGGCCGAAACAAATTTGAGCACGCCTTCACAAGGCGCATCTTGATCGACACATTGCCACCGTGCCTGTGTTGTGGGTTAGAGGCCTCTTGGATGTTTGGTTGGAGATCGTGGGAGGCCGCTCGGGGGACTTTGGAGGCAGTTTTGAGGCTTCTTGGGGGCCGTTCGGATGCCTTTGGGGGCCTCTTTTTGGATCTATTGGGGGCCCCATTGGGGGCTTCTTGAGGCCTCCTGGGGACCTCTTTGGGCGGAAGGCTCAGATTGTCGGTTCGTGTTCCCCTTGGGCGGTTTGCGGCGTTTCCTGGGTTGTTTTGGGACCCTCTTGGGCCGTCTTGGGACCTCCTGGAGGGCCTCTTGGGCCGTGTTGGGGGGGTCTTGGGGCTCTCTGGGGCCAGCTTGGAGCGCTGGAAACCCGAAAACGCGAGAACGCGGGAAGCATAACAAAAGCACAAGGTAAATCAGTGTTTATTACCTCGTTGGGCCCTCTTAGGGATCCTTAAGGATCCCTAAGAGGGCCCATTGAGGTTTCTTTGGAGCGTTCTTGGGGCTTCTTTGGGGCCTCTTGGGCCGCCTTGAGGCCATCTTTGGCGTGTTGGTGCGCTCTTGGGGTATCTTGGAGGCCTCTTGGAGGCCTCTTGGGCCCTCTTGGGCCTTCTCTGGGGCCCTCCTGGCCCGTCTTATGGCCTGCCCGGGCCCCGGGAAAAAAAAACGTCGCGCGGGGCAGCCCGAGAGCGCGCGGGGACCCCCCGAAACTTGTGGATTTTGGGGCCCCGGCCCTTCGAATAGCGTGCTCCCGGAGTCCTGCGTGCAGAGGATACGGTCAATCGGGGGTGGACAGAACCCCGAACAGTGACACGTCGATTCGTGAATTGTGCGTTTTCGCTTCGCGGGAGGGCGCCGTGGACGTTGTTTTCCAGGCTTGCGCCCGCCAGGTTTGGGCCTCAGGCCGTCTTCACTGAACCACGTTTTGCCAAAGGGGGGTCTGTCCATCCCCGAGCCAAGACGCTGAAACGAGGAGCAGTTCGGGTTCGGAAGGGGCTCGAGGTTCCTTAGGTTCCTCCATTGCTGTCCCTCTCGCCCTTCTCGGGGACGGAGGCGCTTTTTTAGGGCACAAAAGGGGCTTCGTTCCTCATGTGGCGTTCCTTCCCTCAGCGGCCCGACGGCAGGAGGACACGAGGGGAGCCTGGGGCCAATTCCGCCTTCGTGCCTCGAGGCCCGGAGGCGGATTCGGAGCCCGCGTGCGCCGCGTGCGCCGACGTCGGGGGTGGACAGAACCCCCAACAGTGACACGTCGATTAGTGAATTGTCCGTTTTCGGTTCTCGAGATGGCGCCGCGGCCGTTATTTTCCAGGCTTGCGCCCGCCAGGTTTGGGCTTTAGGTCGTTTTCACTAAACCACGTTTTACTGAAGGGAGGTCTGTCCATCCCCGACGACGGCTCTTCAAAGCAGTGTGGGTGGGTCGTCGCGGGGAGGTCGCGGGTTGGCCGTTGGTGGGTCGCGGGTGGGTCGCCGGCGAAACGCGGGCGGGTCGCGGTTGGGTCGTGGGCGGGCCGCGGGCGACAGCGACGACACCACAACAGCACAGCAACAGACCACAACTACGCCGTGATTCACACCGCGGAAGCCCACTCCATACACGCATCTAGGGATGGTCCAAAGCTTGTATGGCCTTCCGTTCTGATGAGTGTACACATCCACACGCACACACACTCCGAGATGTCCAAAAGAAAGCACATGTTTCTCGTGGGACGTGCGTATTTGGGGGTGCCCTTATCATCCACATCATGCCAAACGTTTCCTTCCTCACAGAGCCGATTGCCTCCTACTTCAACTGCCTGTTGCCCGGGCGGGCCAGGACCCAATGCTTGGGTCGTTGTGCTTCCTCCTTTGCCTCGACCACCCTTGCGCCGGTCGGCCGGTCGTTAGTGGTGAGCAGGAGCGGCGTCTGCAGCAGGCGTCTCTGCTGTTCTGGGGCGGGCCCCGGGCACGCTCTTCGTGGCGACGGCGGGGCCCGCCGCCCCCGGAGGAGGAACGAGATCGGCGTGCCAGCGAGCAGGAGAAGCTCAAGGCCGGTCGCCTGCCCCCTCCAGTTCGACACGGGGGGCCCAGCGTTCCCAAAGGCGTCCTTGGCCCAGGGCGTCTCGGGGACTTTTAGGGAGCCTCCCGCGGCTCCCGTGACAGTTCTTACGAGGCCCAGGGGTCCCGAGGAACCCCAAAAGGTCCGACAGAGTATGGAGATCTTCGGCCAGGGACACCGTTTGAGGCGAGACGCCCGCCGCCGTCTTCCCTCCTCGTCCTCGTCCTCGCCCACGTCCCAGATCTTTCAGACCCAACTCTCCACAATCCCTCCATATCCGAGAACCTCACAGTCTCTCAACATCTTTCATCCGTCGAACCATTGGAATGCAGCAGGATCCGTCAGGATCTCAAGACTGGTCAATCCATTCGAATGTGTTACTGTATCTTCGGTCGTTCTTCTAGTTGTGGCGGTGGTTCAAATTGTATTTCAGCGCTCCATGGCAGAATGTTGTTTGGAACGCAGGGGGCGCACATTCCCATGGAACAAAACAAGAGTGTGCAGGCATGGCGCACATACATACAGAGATACAGACAGAGAGGGTCGGGGAAACATACACATATGTATAATGATTGTTTATATGCATATAGACATTTGGACATACATTCATGTACACATGTATGTATGCGGGTATCGGGAGGGAGGGGTATACAGGGAGAGTGAACGTGATAACGATACCTATATCTATATATATATATATATGTAGGCATGCATACATACACGCATATACTTATACACACTCCTATATTTTTCTGTGAGGGGGTCGAACGTTCATTAATTGGCCCTGGATGCGTGGCTGAAGTGGGGATCCGTGGTGAAAATTATCATTGTTGCGTTGTTGTTGTGGTTGTGGTTGGTGTTGTTGTCGTCGTCGTCGTTGTTGTTGGTGTTGTTGTTGGTGTTGTTGTTGGTGGTGTTGGTGTTGTTGTTGTTGTTGTTAATGTTGTTGTTAGTGTTGTTGTTGGTGTTGCTGATGCTGTTGTTGTTGTTGTTGTTGTTGTTGTTGGTGTTGATGTTGTTGTTGTTGTTGTTGGTGTTGTTGTTGTTGGTGTTGGTGTTGGTGTTGTTGCTGTTGTTGTTGTTGTTGTTGTTGTTGTTGTTGGTGTTGTTGCTGTTGTTGTTGTTGTTGTTGTTGTTGTTGTTGTTGTTTGTTGTCGTCGTTCCACCCGCGACCTACCCCGCGACCCACCCCGCGATCCACCCCGCGACCCACCCCGTGACCCACCCCGCGACCCACCCTGCGACCCACCCCGCGACCCAACCCGCGACCCACCCGCGACCCACCCCGCGACCCACCCCGCGACCCACCCGTGACCCACCCGCGACCCATTCGCGACCCACCCGCGACCACCCGCGACCCACTCGCACCCACCCGCGACCCAACAGCGACCCACCCGCGACCCACCCGCGACCCATTTGCGACCCACCCGCGACCTACCGGCGTTTTACCCACATTGGTTTAACGAACACATCGGCGCCTGCGGCGGGCTCGTTGTATAATTTGTGAAACTTTGGCGCCTGCGGCGGGCTTCTCCAGAGTCTCGCAAATTGCCGACGTCCCCACCTTCCCTTCACTCTTATCCGCATCTGCGGGGTGCTACGTATACGCGCACACACACATGTAGATCAAGTAACGTCAGAGCCAGAATGAGTGAGAGAGGGAGGCGGTGTGAGAGAGAGAGAGAGAGAGTGAGAGGGAGGCCGAGGCTTAGACGGAGACATGCCGAACCACAGACGGTGGCTGAGGACGACTGCGAGACAGAGACCCGGGCAGAGAGGCAGAGAGAAACAAACCACAGAGAGCCAGAGGCAGAGACAGCCAAAGCCCCAGGCGCGCACGCGCGACACGTTCCAGCAGCTGAAGGACCGTTGCAACGCCCAGGCCGCCAGGGGGGCTTTCCTTCTCCCGCCGAACCGCGTCATATCTTTTGTGATCTCTCCCCATGGACAGAGCTCGGTGTACTTGGCAGTGCGCCTGAGCGGGTGGAACTGACGGGGCCTTGTTGGCCTTTTTCGCGCTTCGTTGTTCGCAGTTCTTCCTACCGCCGTGCTCGGTGTGTGGTGCTCTCTGCTCGGCCTGCGCTGACTGGGGCGGCTCACTGCAGACGTGAGGCTGGGACCGCCGAGCTGGACTTCTCCACGGGGCGGCGCGAGGGCGCGAATGCAACCGCGCGTCGCGCATCGCGGCGCGAGGCGCGACGTGAGGTGGCCTCGGAAAGCGCCCCCGACATTGCCGCACCGTTGCGGGGCAAACTGTTGCGGGAGGCACGCCTCGTGCCGTGGCGTGCGCGGGCTCCTGTGTTGAAGCCTCGGTCGTGGCAGCAGCGGAGCGGCGGCTCCTTCTGGACGATCGTCAAACGCTTGGAGGAGGTCCGCCGAGGCAGGCCTGTGATGCCTGTAAGCGTCTGGCCTGCTCTTGTGCGGTGCCTGCGCCCTGGAGCCAGGAAGGTCCTGACGTGTTCCGTGTCACCCCCTCTCGAATATGGCTTTTCGTCCGCATTTCGCTGACGGCCGTTGCTACGCTGGGAGGGGCGGGGAGGGTTTGGGGTAACGGAAACGCTGGGGCGGGGTGGGGCACGGCGGAGCGGGAGTGCGTTGTGGTCGCCACAAGAAGATGCCCGCGAGCACCAGCAGGTGTGGGGGTCCAGCCCCCCCCCCACACGTACGATCGTTACCGTTACCCGGGGGGGGGGGCGGCAGGGTAAAGACAGTTACGCGCCAGAGTTTGTAAGCAACGGAAGCTCTCGAGGAGGGCAAAATCGGGATGGGAAGGATGAGAGCGAGGAGGGGCGCGACAGTGAGGAGGACGATGAGGAGCAGGAGGAGGAAGAGGTGGACGGGGCAGGCGCGGGAGGCGGAGGCAAAGCCCAGATGGCAGCGGGCAGCGCAGGAGGCGCGGGAGCCGAGGCCCGGGCGGATGGTCCGCAGCCGTGTTGGCCCAAGCCGTCCTGGCTCAAACGGGGGCGCCCGACGCATCCGCCCCTCGCTCCTGCCGTGAGTCGGCCCCGGCCGCAGCTCGTCGCTCCATCATCCCTTTCATCGGGGCGGCCAAGAGGGGGGGATGACCAGGGGGTGGTGGATATCATGGCGGGGGCCACGATGTCTCCCCAGACTTCATGGCGCCCCTTCGTGTTTCAATACGCCCCCGATCCCCCCCCCCTGGGCCGCGCGCACGCCGCCGGCCATGATTCGCGCCCCCCCCCCCGCCTCTTGGACGCCCCCCTCTTTGACGCTCCCGACTTCTCTCGCGACGCTCCCTCCTCTTGCTCGTGCGCCACGGCGCCCGCCCGCGCAGCGCAGGCGGCCTCCCCCCGGGGCCGGAGCTCTTCCATCGGCCTCCCGACGCTGCGCGTCGCCGTCGGAGCCACGCCGCCGTGCTCGCGCGGGGTGCCCTCCCCCCGCGGGCGGTGCCCGCGAGGCGCCCACGGAGCCGCGGGGCCGCTCGCGGCGCTGCGCGCGGCGCTGCGCCGCTCGACGCGGTCTCGGAAGCCTCGCCTCGCCTGGTTTCAGGGCACCGCCGTCTTCTACCACGCCGACTTCAAAGCAGAGGGCGATGACATCGCCAAGCAGTCCTGCATCCGTTTCCATGGTGCTCCTGGCAGCGCTGACCGTGAGTTCGGCATGGCGCTGGCCTCGCTCCAGGGGGCTCGTGGACAGAGGCCGCGCTTCAGAGTCACCGCCGTTTCCTCTATGGTATGCGAGGCGTTCGCTTCTACATACAAATCGGCGGCGACGGTCAAGGATGAGCTCACCCTCAAGATTTATCGCCGCGAACTTCAAGCAATCCTCCCTGCACATGGATTATCCACGTACTCGTCTTCGAGAACCATCTCGAGCAATTGGAAGCCGCTTGTACGGGGGTTCAGCCAGCCATGGGATTCGATGCCAATGCCGTTAAGCATCGCATTGATGCTGGCATCACGCCCCTGGGGGATCCGAACCGTTGGAGTCTGCAGCACGTTTTTGAGAGCGCGGTCAGGTCCCAGGGCCAGTGCGTCCCCGGGTTCTCTTCACCATTTTTCTTGGAATGCCACACCGCTATTTCAATCCAGGCCTGCCATCATAGCGAAGTGCTAGGGGTCTCTTTGTAAATCATTGGCTGTGGGAGCAGCTGTCACAGCTTCGAGCCATGGCGCAGTGGCCGGGATGCATGACTTTCTGCACCCTTCGCGCGTTCTTTTTCAAGCGGTTCATGTCTTGCGGGCCCGCAGCAATGAGAGAGCGGGGGGGCGGGATCATCTCCCTACCTTCGACCACGTCTTAGCAGATGAACGCCCTGATGTTTTACGGCAGACCGTACTGATCCCAGGAGAGTTTTGGAATTTCAGTTGGTCGTCTGGTCTTGGGACACCTGCTGCCAATCTAGCGTACATAACTCTGATGTTCGAGCGGGGGGGGGGTCTTGCATATGTCGCAGGATATACCAGAAGATATCTTCAGCTAGCTGTAGCACATCCTTGCGAGCGTTTGGTTGCCACGTCTGGGCACCCCAATCACTCACTACCGACATTCCTCCCGCACTTCTTCTTGGCCGTCCTGCATGTGCTGCTCTGATTCGGGATCGGCGTCGACAGCACTCTGCTCTCTGCCGGAATATGTTTGGGCCGGTTTGGGATCCAGAGATTGACGACCCAACCGTTTACTGCGCGGCGGACGACAGAGTTTCCAGCCTGGACAGATTGGTTGTTTCGTTTCCTGCATGCGCGTGTGGGGGAAGGCTCACGAATTTTTCCCGAGGTCTTGGGCGCTGCCCGCATCCGGGGCCACGCCGCCAACGCATCTGAGCGACGCAGAAGAATGGTTGGTGGTCCCCACACGCGGTGGTGAGAACACCCGGTGGTGAGTTTTGGGCGATCTGGGTGATGGTTTTCGAGCGCCGGCTGGCCCAGGCAACGCCAGACCTCGTGGCGATCGCGTGTCCCCAAACCGGGCGGTGACCCAGCATTATTTTTGGGGGGAATCGGGGTCACCACGGGGTGCCTCACCACCTGGCTTGGCGACCACCATAATGGGGTCGTCTGCACCGACGCTGGCGCGCGCCAGCTGCCCGCGTCCTTTCGCGCGGCGGCGCCCTCCTCTCGGATGTGGGCGTGCCGGGCACGGCGGCCCGTGCAGACCACCGCGCGAGGCCGCCGCGCCACATCACATCGCGCCAGCCCCGCTTCTGGCCGTCGCTCACGCGAGCGCTCCGGGGCTCGCGTGGCTCCCCGTGGACCAGCGCTGGGCCCCTCTGGAGTCCTGGAGGCGCCTCGGCCGCCCGCGCCCCCCCCCCCGCCGCGCCCTGCGCGCCAGGGAGGGAGCTCCAGCGCAGGCCTGCGGAGGCCGCGCGGAGTGTCGGAGGCCAATGCCTGCGCGTCTGCGCAGGAGGCTCTCGTGGCCACATCCGCTGCCCCTCGGAGGTTCGGGCGCCTTTCCCGAGGTACCCGAGGCGCGCTGCATTGGAGGGGCCCCAGGACACACAAATAAATACACACAAATAAAAATATTCCCCATATTTTCCAATATTTTCCTGAGCCTGAGAGTCGACGATTAATTGTGTCTGTGTGTTTTTCCCTCTCCCTGATGCATATGGATCCGCATCTGACGCATTGGAGCTCGGGCTGTTCCCCTGTGCAGGGCGCCCCGGCCCTGCGGCGCCCCCACCGAGAAAACCATTGCCCCGCAGGAGTGTGCGCGCACTCGAGCAGCGGAAGCAGCAGGGGTCGGCTGCGCCGGCCTCCGCGCGCAAGTTGCCCGCGTAGGGGCGCGCGCTGCCCTCCTTTCTCCAGCGCAGCGTGCCGAGCGGGCGGCCCGCGCAAGCCGCCGCGTTAGCTCGCCATGCCATCTCCAGGCTGTAAAGTAAAGTTCAGGAGGGAAAGAAACACAGAAGATATGGGAAATATGGGGAACATTGGAAACCATGGGAAGTGGGGGGGAAGACACAAATCCAGAACATATGCGAACATATGGGGAATATGTTTATTGAATCGCTTCGCTCATTCCGCCGGCCCGTGATATGGCATCGCTGGTTTTTGTCTGTGTGTTCGTTGCCCATGTTGCGCTCTTGGGGGCGGGTGTCGTTCGGACGCGTTGCGTGGGGAGTTTTGATGGTGAAGCAGTTCCCTGGGGGTCGTCTCTCGATAGGGCGAAATAGAGTCGTCGTCAAGATGCTTCTTTGGGGGGCCTCTTGGGGTCTGTTGAGAGGCCGTTCGGGGGCGCCTGGGAGACATGTTTGAAGCCTTCTGGGGCTTCTTTTGGGCCTCCTGGGAGTCTCCTGGGGCCTCTTGGCGACATCTTGGGGCCTCTTGGAGGCCTCTTGGGGCCTCTTTGGGACCTCCTGGGCGCCTTCTGGGACGGAGGGCTCCATTTTTGAGTTCTCGGTATCCCTCCTGAGTCCCTCTTGGGCCCGTCTTGGGGCCTCTTGGTCCGTCTTGGGCGGCACTTGGGCCGTCTTGAGGGCTCTCTTGGGTCGTTTCGGCGCCGTCTTGGGAGCTTCGTGGGCCGTCTTGGAGCGGTCTTGGGGGCCTCTTGGGCCGTCTTGGAGCGTCCGGAAGCCGAAAAAGCCAGAACACAAAAAACATCGAAAAAACAAATGAAAATCAACGATTTTGGCCTCTTGGGGCTCTCTTCGGAGGCCTCTTGGAAGGCTCTTGGGGCGTCTTGGAGGCCTCTTGGGCTGTCTTGGGGGCCTTTTGGGCCGTCTTGGGGTCATCTTCGGCGTCTTCGAGCGCTCTTTGGGCGTCTCGGGGGCCTCTTGGGCAGTCTTGGGGGCCTCTTGGGGCACTCTGAGCGCGCTCTGGGGAGCCTGAGAGGCCGCACCCAGAAGGAAAACCATCTCTGAGTAGACTTGGTCGGGCGGCGGTCGGGGTACTTTTCGCCGGGGGACCCCCAGGGGCCGCCCCGCGCGCGCGAACTAGAAATACTGTTAATACTGTTAACCAGTTACCGGAGATCTTAGCACGCCCTGGCCCGTTGGGCCGGCGAATTTGTTTCTATGTATTTGTGTGTCCCAGTTCCCCTTCAAACATATCACTATACACCCGAAGAAAAAGGTTGAAACATCCCTCCCCATAACGTAACGCCCCCTCCGCAGTGCGTCCCCGGCGCTGCCGCACAGCGTCCAGCACCACAGTCTGAAGGGGGGGGAGCGCGCCACGTCGTGCCCCGGCCCGGTCTCCGCCCCCCTCCCCCCCCATAACGCCCGATGGGGCCGCGAGTAGAAACATGCGCTCCAATTCGCCGCGAGGTGATCGAGATGCAGGGTATCACCACCCACCAAACCACCCCAACCCAACCCGAAGGGTCAGATTTACCCTCGATTTCTAGTGGGGGGGGGGTCGGGAAACATCGAAAAAACACGTATGGAACCCATACCCCCCCCAACCCGAAATTTGGGTCTTCGGGTTGGGTTGGGGTGGTCTGGTAGGTAGTCAGGGTAGGCCCCCGAAGGGTTCCCAAGAGGCCCCCAAGAGGCCCTCCCCAGAGGTCCGAGAGCACTCCGAAGAGACTCCAAGAAGCATCCCTTAAGACTCTGGCCCACGTCAGCGTCGCCGTCGCCGCCGTCGTTGTCGTCGTCGTCGTCGTCGTCGTCCCTTCAAGGTCGGCGGCGCCGGCCGTACAAACAATGCGCCTAGTAAGGACGCGCGCCTTCATCTAGGGTACCATTGCGTCCTTCCCTCTGCGGCACGTCCTTTGCCGTTTTCACTGGCCGCCGCCCTAAGATGTCCCACCTTCGGCCTTCAAGGGTCTTGCGTCATTGCCACCTGTCCTTTATACACGTTTTGATTGTAAGGCCCCCGCACTGATCCGCCGCCCACTACTGCAATACGCAGTGGTTCCGTTCCGGCGCGCTTCCACTCAGCCCAGATGTGTTTTTTGCATAAGTTTTCCGTGGCCTTCTGTATCGCCGTTTTTTCTGCCGATGCGCAGTCTAGATGCGGCTTTTGGTGTGTATGTGTGAATGGTCCGCCGCGAGGTGACCGAAATGCAGGGGAAGCTGTCCCAGGCGGAGGCGGAGGCCGAGAGCGTGCGCGGCCGGCTGGCGGAGCTGCAGGAGTGAGGGGGGCCGCGCGGGTGTACCGTCGTGGCTGTTGCGGGGCCGCCGCCGCCGGGGTGGGGTAGCACAGGTCGAGGAGCATGTTGCTCCCATGGTACTTAAGGACCACATCGACGAAATAATCTCGAGCACCCAGGAAGGTATCGAAACAGTAGCGAACGAATACGGCATCCCAGGGCCTGACACGTGAAAACCCTCCAGTTTGGGCAGTTTCTTGGAGCTCGAAATTCTTTCTGGCGGTCAAAGCTACAATAGGTTAGATCAACGCATGTCGAGGAGGTGGTGCCAGGGCTCAAGAGACGGGGGTCAGTGCAAACGCGGGTCAGTCAGAGCGCCGGATCTTGCAGGACCCTGCAGTGCCAGGGGTGCACTCACCTGGGTTTGGGCGCAGGGTCCTGCAGGATGTTGCAGGATCCCGCCAGGCCTGACTGATCCTGGCGTGCATTGGCTCGGGTGAGTACGTTTCCGATGGGGGCCACGGAGGGGGGGACTTTTGGCATCGCTCGGACGCGTGCAGTGTTCCGACCAAGAATAACCCTACCTTCGGGCCGGACGAAAGGGGGGGACTGGGAAAGGGGGGGCTACGGAATTTGCTGCATGCAGCCGGTTTCGGCCTCGCCGCCGGGCCCATTCCTCGATACGTGGGCGCCTCCCAGCGCCGGGAGGCGCCGGGAGAATCGGCTACGTGAGCTGATTCTCAACCCCCCCCCCTGCGCCATCCCCCCCTTTCGCCCGACCCGATGCCTACGGCCCCCATATGTGCGCTACCGCACGTCGGGCGCCGCAGCGTACACCACGCAAGAACCTGCGCCAGATGTTCTGGTGCACGCGAAGCCTCCTGGGGCCGTAGGGGGGTTGGTGTCGTTTCTTTTCTGGTCCAGTTTTTCTCGGCGAGTGCCATCGAGGAGCAACCTGGATCACCTTGCGAAGAACTGCGCACGATCCGAAGAGGAACAGGTACCGATGCCGCTACCCTTCCCCCGGCTTCCCCTTGTTGGGCCTCCTGGGAGGCCCACGTCGCCACCGCTAGTGAGAACGCACCCCTGGAGTAGCTGTATCGGTATCTGTTCTTGGTCAGAACGCACCCCAAGAGACGTCTGGGGAGTAGCGATATCGGTCTTTTTCTTGTTTCCTCACAGGAAACCGAACAATGCAAGGGGAATGGACGTGCGAGCGATGGCAAGTGGAGGGGCACGGGGAGGAGGTGGAGGAGGCAATGCCCCCTTCTCGCCGACAGGATGTCCTGGATTAGGGAGGATGGGGCGATGGGGCTCCTATCCCCGCGAGGACAGACCAGCCGTCGCAGCGGCAGCGACAACTTGGGGCAGTTGGAGGAGAGGGCGCAGGATGGGTGGTGGATGTGGAGGGGGTCCGGGGGGGAGAAGAAGGTCGAAGGGGCTCAGAGCAGGAGGAGTTTCCCATACCGCTGCCCTTCCCATGTTTTCCTTTTCTGATTTGCTTCGAGTAGGGAGGAGGAAATGATGGATCAACTCGGAGGCTACACGCGATACATCACGGCCAGCCCTGGCCGAGCACATCGTTGGACCTGTGTACTGCTGCGTCGGCCTTCCTACCACTTGTCACAGGAAGTTCATACCAGTCAACTGCCCAATGTGGACTTGGCCACAGGTTTGTGAGCGGCTACCTGCCTCCACATGACTCTGCCCCTTCATCCTCCCCCTCGCCGTCCCCCTCCACCAGCACCTCCGCAGACACCCTCTCCTTCCTTCAATGCTCCTCGTCTCCCCTCGCCATCCTCCGTCCTCACTTCCCCTCCCCCTCTCCCTCCTGCTCCCCCCCCCCCCCGAGAGGCCCGCGCCGTGGCCGCAGCCGTGCTCTCCCCCCTTCCGCGCGCGCTCGTTCGGCTGGGGCCCAGCACTTCGCCCGCAGCGAGCGGGCGCCCGTGCCGTGCACGGGTGGCCGGGCAGCGGCGAACCCCCCGCCGCCCTGCTCCGAGCATGCAGGCCCGCTCCCTCCGCGGGCGGCCGCTCCGAGGGGGCCCGCCTCCCGCTGTCCGTGGGCGCTCCCCAGGAGGCGGTCGGTCCCACACCGTGCTCGCGTCGTGGAGGCGGCTCCACGCGAGAGTTTGGGCCGTTTTCGGCATCCGGAGGCCCGGGCCAGGCCCCAGGACCGTCAAGCAACGGCTCGAGATGTGAAAATGGTCCCGGGGGAGGGGTCGGGACTTCCGGGGACCGCGCATTGAGAAAATCAAGACGTCGCATCTCTAGGTTTCTTTTCGACAGTTCCTCCCCCTGGTCCTTCCTTTGGGGCGGGCGCGTAATGGGGGGCGACCAGTGGGGGGCAGCGAGGGCTACAGAAAGGCGCCGTTTAGGGCCCTTCAAGAGGCCATTTGGGCTCCCAAGGAGGCTTTCTGGGCCCGCGGAGACTACCCTTCTCCCCCTCCCATCGATCCCCCCCTCTCAATTCGCGCCCAATTCCTTTCCTCTCCTTCCCCTCATTCTTTCACCCTCCCTCTCCTTCCCCCTTCTCCAGCACCGGGAGTACGCCACATGTCTCGCCCGCCGCTCGGCGCGGGGCAGACGGCACAGCTGTGGCATGCCGCTCTCCCCCTTGGCCGGAGCCAGCCTTCGTGGCCGAAGGGGGCGCCAGTCGAGTCGAGCCCTGGGGGCGCGGAAGTCAGCTGCCGGCGGCGAGCTAGGGTTAAATCGGGCCTGTCCCCCTACAGGGGGATTTTCGACGATAAAAAAAATATTCAAAAATAACAAAACATGTAAAAAAATAATATGGGGACTATTTCCTGAGTTTTTTTGGTTGACAATTTTGGGGTATCTTTTTTTTGTTCGTCGACCATCCCCTGTAGGGGGACGCGCCCGACTTAACGCTAGGGAGGAAGTGAGAAGAAGGTCTTCGCAGAAGGCGGCGGGACTGCTCAGACGCCCTCGCGCCCTCTGAGGATCAGGAGGGGAAAAAACACACAGACACAATTAATCGTCGACTCCCCAGAAAATATGGGAAAATATGGGAAGTGGTGGGGAAGACAAAAACCCCAAAAATATAGGAAAATACAGGGGATCCTTTTATTTGTGCGTATTTATTTGTGTGTCCCAGGGCCCCTTCAGAGGAGTGGTCTTTTTGTCTTCGGAGCAGGCTCAGAATTTCTGAGCCTGCTCCGGGGGCCGGGGGACTTTTCCACGCCTTCTGAGAAGGCCCGCCCCTTCGAGCCTGTTTTTTTTAGATCCTGGCAAGTTTACTTGCATGGACCCGGGGGGGGGGGCTGAGCCTGAAGCAAGCCCGGGGGGAGAGGCGCGAAAAATCACCGCAAGTCGAAAGGCACTTGCACGCTAGTATTCGCTTGAAGAGGGGCGAGGGGAGGGGGGGGGGGGGGGGGCGAACGCCCTGCAAGTAAACTTGCCTGAATCCAAAAAAACAGGCTCTTCTCACTTCCCCCCCCCCCGGCGCGCCGCCGGAAGTGCTCCGCGCGAGCCTCCCGAGGTCTGGGCCAGGGGCAGGTCGCCTGCAGACGCGTGGGGGCTTCGAGGGTTCCCCGCTGCTGCGGGCAGGGTGTTCGCAATCGGCGGATCGTCGCATTGTATGATTCGGGCCGGACGAAACTTGGGATTGATTTGAGCATTTGCGCTCGTTTGCGCTGTTTCGGTCTTTGGCCCAGTTGGCCTCGCATTCTGGCGTCGTGAGGGCCGAGCGCGGGCCGCCTTTTGTTGTTGTTGTTGTTGGTGGTGGTGGTGGTGCGTGTTGTTATTGATAAATATATTACACACATACATGTAATACTGTGGGGACTCCTATGGATTCCTATGGGGAAGCGTACGGAGTCATATGAAGATTCCTATGGAGGCCTACGGGGTGTCCTACGGATTCCTATGAGGATTACTATGGATTCCCATGGGTGTTCCCATGGATTCGTATCGGGATTTCGATGGATCCCTATGGGGGGTTCTACGGATTCCTATATGGGATTCCCCTAGGAATTCCTATCGGGATTCCTGTGGATTCCAATGGAATATTTGGGGGATGCCTATGGAATCCTATGGGGCGTCTTACGGATTCCTATGAGGATCCCTTTGGATTCTTATGGGGTTCCCCATGGGTTCCTATGGATTCCCGTGGGGATGTCTACGCGAATTCCTATGGATTCCTTGTGGTTGGCTCTTGGGGTTTCGTGGGGCTTCTTGGGCTTATTTGCAAGCTGGCTGGCTGGTTGGCCTGTGGGCTGGCTGGCTGGGTTGGCGGGGGCTGGTTGGCCGGTTGGCCAATTGGTTGGCTGGTCGATCGGTCCTGGGATGTCTGGGCTGCTGATTGACTGCTCGGTTGGTTGGCTGGTTGGCCGGCCGGTCGGCTGGCCAGCCGGCTGGCTGGCTGGCTTGTTGGTTGGCTGATTTGCTGGCCCGCTGGCTGGCAGACGGGCTGGCTGGCTTGCCGGCCGGCAGGCCAGATGGCCAGTTGGCTGGGAGGAGGAGGAAGGAGATCATGAGGATAAGGAGGATGGGGTGGTGGAAGAGAGGGGGGAAAGGAGGAGGAGGATCACAAGCCTGCTTCCTCCAACCGATTCATACCTCATCCTACCCAGGTGAAGAAGAAATATAATGAGGTAGAAGCAAATAAGGGAAATTAGGATAAGGTGGAGGGAGGCAGGACGAGGTACGACGAGGAGGAGAGAGGAGGAGAAAGGATAGCGTAGGAGGAGATAGGAGGTAGGAGGAGGCAGGAGGAGGTAGGAGGAGGTTTGAGGACGTAAAAGGAAGTAGGAGGAGGTAGGAGAAGGTACGAGGAGGTGGGAGGAGGCAGGAACGAGTAGGAAGAGGCGGAGGAGGAGGGGGAGGAAGCAGACAGGAAGATAGCATATGGGAGGAAGTGTGAAGGTAAGAAGAGGTAGGAGGAGGTGGTAGGAGGTAGGAGGCAGGAATAGTTAGGGGGAGGTAACAGGAAGTAGGACGAGGTAGGACGAGGAACGATGATGGAGGAGGAGGGGGAGGTAGGACGAGGTAGGAGGAGGTAGGAGGAAGCAGGAGGGTAGGAGA